GTCGTTTGAAAAATTTGTCGCATTGCGAGTGACGTACCGTATGATTAATAGGGACAAACTGGAATCGTAGAGACGATTTTCATGATATATCGAAAGAACGTCGTCGACAGGGATTTCTCGAGTGTAGCGAAGAAAAGTTGCAATACGTTTCACGGAGGATTGAACGCGTCGATGTGTATCGAGGGAAATGAATTATGTCGCGAAACTGTTGGGAAGAGATAGAAAATTGCTGCTTAATAACGCGTTAAAAACGGAAGGAAGTATTCCGCTAACTCCGCGCCAATTTTCCAGCCGGAAACCGTTCCAATTCGGCCTGGGAATAACTGTACGTTCTCCTGCTCTGTCTGGCCGGCCAAAAAAAAAAAAAAAGAAACGAAAAAAGGAACACTCGGCGTGTCTCTTTGAATGGCAAATTAAGCCGAGTTCTACTTTAGGAGTTTGCTCGTCGGAAACGTCGATAGAATAGCGAAAAATTTTCAACTAGGTCATTCGAACCGAGTAATCAGGTAGCAGAAGGTGGTTCAGAAAATCAAGAAGAAACCAATCGTTTGGATTGTAAAAGTAATTTTAGAATCTCTTATCCGATATCTTATCAGAGATATCGTTCTTTTGTTTGGCATCTTTCGACATTATGAATTGTAACGGGAAAGAATCTTTTCGTTACCATTTTCTCAGGATTTTCATCTTTGCTTCCTTCATTTCCAGCCGTTCTTCGATTCAAACCTCTCTCTGCTTCGTATCCGAATAAATCAATTACCTACCCGGTGATTTCAGTTTAACGAAATCGTCGAGTCGCGAGGCTGGAAACGAACCGCGAACAGGAAGCGTCAGGCTGATAAAAAAAAAAAAAAATGAATCCGCGAAAGCTTTTCATTCGATTTCCACGGAGAGACAGTGTGATTTAATTGTCACATCGGCAACGATTTTGAGTCTTATTCTCGGTCGCTGTCGATCCAACGCGACTCCCGTTGTATCGATTGGTCCACTGCTGTTTCCATATTCGAGGCGACTAATCGAGCGTCGATATCGAACTCGATTCGCCGCGAAATCGCGTCTGTTCCAGGCGAATCGGTGCAGCGTCATTAAATCGTTAACCGGTCGCGTTACGTGCAATTAAGCACGGTCCGGTTTTCGCGGCGGACGAATTATGCCGGCTTCACCGGGACGAGCCCACGGGCTGTAACAAATCCGTTTTTAAAGGCGGAATTTGATAAATGCCACGGCAAATTTCGCAGACACGCCGCGCGAAATCCGATTAATCACCGCTGCGCGCCGAAAATCGTTCGCTTCGCCTCGTTATCCGACCACTGTTTATTTAAAAAAAAAATAAAAAAGAGACCAGCACCAGTATCTATCGGCTGTTCTAATAGAAGAATATTGGTAGTATCCTGGCTCGTTTTGTTTTTGGCTATTTTACTTTTGCATTAACGCATCGAATTTTTTGCAGTCCATATTTGTTCAGAATCTATATTCGTTCAACATTTTTCTCATCGCGAAACAATTTGCAGCGAAAAATTCGGCTACAATGTTGGCCAGCTATCGAAATTCATGAATCACCGTGATGAATCGTCGCTGCCTAATTACTCGTACCTCGTACCATTTATCACACAATACCCTGGGTATCGTCCCATGCATCGAATTTTATCCATCGCGTTGATCACTCTTCCCGCGAGCATACACGGCATCGGTCAAAAGTTTCGGGACAGTTTGCGCATCTCTAACAAGCGTAATTAATAAGAAAATCATAAATCAACGAGATGTTTTATAAATAATACGACAAGTATTCGAAAAGTTTCGATGCTACGTTTCGCAGAGGAGTCAGCGAAAGCAAAGAGGTCGAGTTTTCGGCCGGTTCTCGTTCGAAATGCCGCGCGTGTCGTTGGACAATTTCGAGATAGACGTTTAAGCTGTTGTCACGCGTTTCTTGCGGCCAGGAGGGTAGCCTCTCGGCGAACGGCCAAACCCGTCAGCCGCGCCCTCGTATTTCGCTGTTAAATCACGTAACGGCGGAATCCTTGCCAGCAGTTACGTTTCGAACGATACGCCGCCGTTGGGCCGCGGTTATCGATGATTAACGGAGCCGATATCGCCACGGGATTACTTCTTCGCCGTGTTCGTTTCTTCGATTAGCCGCAGCAAGAATTTTCTGCGGTTACGCGGGTTCGATCGACTCGACCGAATCCCTCGTTACTTGCCGACCGATGTGACGCCAATAAACCAGTCGTTACCCTAACCAGACACATTATCCGAACGTTTCGAATCGATTTCGTTCCCCTATCGTTCGCTGCCCTCCCAAGATTACTCGTGCCACTCGAGAAAGTGGATTGCGGTGGAGGGTTGTTGTCTGATCACCTTTCACTTTGATGAAATTCTCGCTAGTTGCTTAGTTGTACGTTTGTTTATGCAACTGGAAGCTGTATGCGGTAAAGAAAAGTGCAGGTCCGGCTATCCTGGAGAAACAGGATGACCAATTTTGTAACGTCGATTTAATTGAGTGACCAGACCTGCTCGGCGGTGATCGAGAAGGGTGAAACGAGCCGGAGAAACGGGGCATCGTAGAAATTGAGAAGGACGTCGAAACCGGCATACCGGAAATTGCTGCTAGGAAATCCAATTAACGGTCGTGCGCCGTGCATCTTTTGCCGCGTTACTATCGCCTACTATCCTCCTCGGTAACTGCGCTAACCTGCTTCGCGAAGTTACGGTCGGACGAGCATTTGTGCTAGTGGAACCCGATCGTAGCTACGATCGAGTTGTACGAGTGATCACTTTGATGTTGCTCCTTTGTTACGGTACCGTTGCGCAAGTGCAGCGATACCGTTTTATTCTATGGAAAGTACTTTCATTCTCGGTTCGTGCTTTCTAAGAAGAAAAGTGTTCGATTCGGTTAATAGGATTATTGAATGAGAATTTCGCGATCGAACGCTTGTTCCACGCGTTTTCACTCGTGCATTCGTATCCATTTGGCCGCGTTCGGCTACATTCCTCTCGCAGGGATAGGCTGGAAACGTTAGTTCCGAGGAAGTTCCATGAATCGACGAACCGGGCATTCCTCGACGGCTACGCGGCTCACGGAGTTCCGTTCTATCCTGGCCCCTATCGGATAAACCGAGGATGGAAATGGGACGGCGGGAGGGCGCGGCGAGGGAATTCCTTCGACCATAGAAATTTTGCATTCCCCGCAGCCAGACTGGGCAATATTCAGTTCCGCGGTTCGCTCTCGGGTCACACTTCGAAATCAATTGCGCCCGATCTCGAACCGTTGCCTACCCCCTTTATGGAAATGTAACGAGTTAAGCAACCGACTCCGTCGAAATCCAAGTCTTTTCGGACGAGATTAAAAACTTCTATGGGATAAAAATTACGCGATCGATGCGTTTCGTTTCGAAGATTCATTTTTGATCGTTTAAAAATAGCCGTCCGATGTTAATTTGTTTGCCGAAAAGAGAAAAATAAAGCGAGCGGCATGGGAAACTGATGGATATATTATTCGCAAGCGGGTAAAACTCCATTATTGATTTATTCCGGCGGTGTTTTACCGGTTTAATGGGATTATTGATGGCGTGGCATCGGTTGCTGGTAGTCGACCGAGCTCGGATTCCATCATCTGGACGGGCTTCGATCTCTTTATTTCCAGCATCGTGGCCCGCCACCAAGGAAACGGAACACAGGCTGGATCGAGAGGAAAGTAAAACACTGCGTCAATATTATTTTATCCCTCTTTGGCTTCCTTCAACCGGTGCCTGCCGATGGCTCGCAAGGGGAACAGAATAGGGATTGTTTTCATAATCAGAGACTAAAAGAGAGGGATTTCTTCTCGGGGAGGAATCTTCTTACGGCGATCTTCACCTGAGCTTGTTTTCAACCTTCCAAAGGGAATTACTTTGTTTCGTTAACTTCTTATTCTTACCTGAGATAGGTTTGTCTTGAATACCATTATATTCCTCTCTTCGATGGAATAGATGATGCGATTCGTTCGCGATCGTCCATCACTGTCGTCCATCGCTGAACGATTCTTCCATCTGACCGCCGAAATGCTTCCTGTTCAGGGAAGAATACACGGACGGATCGTCGGAAATGTAATTTCAAGGATCGTGGAACGGACCGCTTCTCGGCCGACGTTATCTTTCGCTGGAAGGTAATAAAACGCGAAGTTCGAATCAATCGCATTCCTTTTCTCGGTCAACGGAGCCGAGCATCGCGCCGTTGCGGAATATTTCCGCGCGATTCGAAGACGGCGGTCTGGTAGTAAATCAGCGTTGGGACGCACCGCGGAATCGTCGACCGTAAGTCGCCGCGACCAGCTGTACTCTCCCTTATCACGTTCGCCCATCGTCCTTCGACGAGAAACCGAAATTCCAGAACGACAATCATTTTATGACCCCCCACAAAAGCTGGTTCGAAGATCAATGCGTTGCTTCTCATGGTGTTCGGTCGCTTTTCTTCGACGACAAAGGGATGTCCATCGAGGGGGCAAATGGCTCGTATGTTTCTCGCGGCCATCGGTGTTAGGGGATGTACCGCGATATATTATGGTCGATGATAAAAGCTCGAGGTGTCTGGCGCGAAGTTTATGTTCCAGTTCCATCAGAACGTTCCTCGTATTTCGAAGAATGTTATAAAGTTAGTATCGTAAAGCTTACCGATGTGAAAATTATAAATTGTTCATTTCAGAACGAATTCTTTTGGAAATATAAACAATCGAAAAATAGAACGGAAAATTTGACCTAATAATTAAGAGAGTTAATAGAGGGTCTAGAATTTATTCGACCAAGAAATGAAAATTAGTTTTTGCCGCTCGCGAGGGTAGCTTATGGTCGTTTTAAGTATACACAAATTTCTTTCCCGTTGAATCAGGAACGAACGACCAGCAGTGGTTCGTTAACTTTTTCGCCCAGTTAATCATTGATCACCTTTCCCCTCCGCTTTCCCGTGTTCCTGTTATTTTCAACGAATCACGAGCGATCGTCGCTTAATTATCGAACGGATTTCTTTTTCAGAGAGTACAGGGGGAAACGGAGTTGCCGGTGAAAAGAGTTTTGAACGGTGGCCAAGGACCAAGGCGAGAAATGTAATTATGACGCTGCGGAAAAGTGTCCCTAATTGTCGAATCCGCGGAGCAGCCTAATTGCTGGAACTTGGTGACCCTCCAGAAGGTGCTTAAAGGTGAGTCGCTTTTGCGTTGCGATCTAATTTTCTTGTTGAAACGAGCCACGAATATTTACGTTTCGTTAGCGAATCCTGCCGCTCGGAATCGTGTTATCGCAAATATATTTTTCAAATTATTTTAATCCAAGCGTTTATGTTTGCGCATTACGCTGCGGTATCGTGCACACATTCCGAATCGTACGATAACCGAGGGGAATTGTGTGCATAAAACTGATAATTATTATGCAGTATCGAAAAAACAATTTTCTGTATTCGTATCAATTATCTTTTATTAAATTTCTCAAAACTATCCGAGTAACTCATACACAGACAGTACCGTCGCTAAAAGATGAATAATAACAGATCGGTCTTAAAGATGAGACTAATAATAGCAGAAACGGTGTCCCTGAAACTTCTGAATGCTCTTAACCAAGCACCATGAAATTTACCCGGGATAGAACTCATCCGAGCGATAATTAAAGCCTCGGTTGAACGACGTTATTAAAGTTCACGGTCTCGAGCATAAAGTCAGAAACTTCGGTACCGATTACAGTCCCGAAGCACGAGCTTTTCCTCGAGCATCCTCGGATTCTTCAACCTCGATTGGACGTTGCGTCGGTTCGGTAACGAGCGAAGTGACGATACCGCTTCCGGTATTTCGGTGGTTTCCTCCGTTCACGGTTTCTTAAAGTACGAAGCTTTGTCGCAACGTCCTCGGTGCCTCTATCAGAGATCCAGAGGCACGAAAGACGAGAGGAGACTGCAAGACCTTCAGCAGATTCACCGGAAGCTTGTCGTAATACCGCTATTAAAATGCAATCCCACATCTTACCCGAACGAAGAGATTCTCTGCTCTCTTCTCAACCCTCTCTCTCTCTTTGTTTCTGTAGCTGTTCACGATGTCCCGGCGTTGTAAGACGCGGCTTGTACCATGGCCGACTCGCGTTTCATCGTGTTTCTCGTTTTATTCATTAAATAACCGTGGCGTCGGTTCCGGGCAACGTGCCGGGGTAAGTTCTAAACGGCTCTTCCGGCGAATGCAAATGCGCGTCCGCCTGTAAGCGGAACGCGGTAATTAAAAGGCCGCGCGAGGACAAGTTTCCCGATGACTTCGCGCGGTACGCTTCGCCTCTTGCCGCCCTTTTCTCCCCTTCAATCTTCTCGTTGTTTAATGATGGGCAGGTACGTATCCATCGGAACGTATTAATATAAATAACGCGATAGGAAAAAATATTTCTAATTACCGTAACGGATTCACGGGGAATAGAAGAGTGCGAGAAGCAGGGAAACGTTTGGTGTGCCATTTCGTTCAAGTGGCAACTGTCTGAAGCGCGTTGTAGCGAAAGGGTTAATGGGACTTTTTGAAAGTCCCCCGGCCGCGGTTTCTGTTTGAACGCGTCGGTTAAGCATGCTGTTTTTCCTTTTTTTTTTTTCTGCTGCCATTTGCTCGGTAACACAAAATGCTTACGTTTTCCACTTTGCTGTCGTCCTTCGGGCCGACTGTTTCTTTTTCCTTGCCTCTCGTGAATTCTAACGAGGGTGTTTCGCGAACTACCGCCTCCTTCGAAACTGCGGCCCGCTTTCCGTTTAATTAATTCGCTTAATTAAAGGAAGACCGCGAGAACAACTTGCCGAGGAGAGTTTGATGGATACTTCTGGGTCGGACGCTCGTTTGCTGTTAACGAGAAGCTTCCGCTCGTAAATGTCCGGATATCGATAGGCGATGCAACGGGATTCGTGTCGTATCCGCGAATATCTCGCGAAATTTAAATAAATAATAGAACGTATCCAATTTCATTTTAAACTTTGTTCTATTTTCATTTCGACGATGAATCAAGTCGACTGCACACCAAATGTTCATCGTTATTCGCGAAGAAATTGCTCTTGTTCATTCTAGTTCGCCTAAACTCTAATGAATGATTGCAATTTAACTTCGAACAGGTAGGACGAAGAGTATGTTAACCTCGTTGTGATCGAATTTGTAGTTTAATCGTTGCATAGCTAGTGTAATTAATGTTTTTCGAGGCTGAACCTGTATAGCCATTTCATGGGAATTGCATTTCACGTGTGCAACTTTGATATTAAATTTCATAAAGCATCGATGATCGATAACATTACGAAACGTTTGTACGGCATGTAACGTTTAGTCGAATCGAAATGTATCCTCGAAAGCAGTCGTGTTCGACGAATAGGAATAGTTTCGTAAACCGTAGACGCGGTAGTTCGCTGCAATACGTTGTAGTCGATTTTATTATCGGAACACGTACGGGGAGGAGCTTTACACAGACGGTGAATTAGCGCGAAGTAATCTCAAACGAGGCATTCAAGCAGCCTTTGAACCGGAGAATCGTATCCCACCTGTGGTCTCGGCTTACAGATATACCGGAAACGAACTTGTTACCGGTGCGACCGTAACGGAATTCATATTAGCATTCGTGCAACACATTACAAGGAAATTGCAATTCGACTTGGCCAACTTAAGCGGGTCACGCGTTATCGCGTTAAAATATTTCTTTAATCGGTGATGCGATCTCTTTATCGAACGATTTAACCGTTGATCAATCATCGTTAGGAATGGCTGTCTCTAGCAAGAAACGAAACGAAACTAAAATGGAATTTAATTCAGCTCACTTTATTAAAGCTTTATCCGCAAGCTGTAAAATCGGGAACGGCTGTCTTTTGTGCCAATCTACCGATTGACTTACCGCTGCTTTTCCGTATCGTATCAGGGATTTCCGATAATTCGTCCGTCGTTGAAACGCTCCGTCAATCTACTACAAAATCGTTTATTTAAAATTTCATCCATTCGCTGGAAAACCTTTTACAGCGCCCTGAAGGAACAAAAGAAACGAAACGGGTTGATACTCGGGTGGGATAGGTATTCATTATTTTGAAAAGTAAACCGAGGTAACGTCGTAATTTACAATTGACTCTTTGTTGTTCCTCACCGATGCAGCAAGATTGTCGAAAGTGCACGGGGGAGGAGTGAAGAATCGATTGGTTGTCGCGATAGGAATCGAGAGTAACGATTTCGTTAGCAGTTGGACGAAATCGATCTGTCCTCGAGCCAATTAAAGTTTCCCCGGGGACAATGCGACAGGCAGCGAGAGGAGTCGAGAATCCGCGTCAAAAGAGCGCGAGAATCGGGGAGAAAAAGTAACCGGGCTGTCGGAGTGGCGGCAGAAAAAGGGAACGAGGAGGAGAAGAGAAGAAAATTAAGTGGTGGACCCTGGAATGGAACAAAACTGGCTGGGCCCCGCCACCATGGCGATCGTCGAATTCCGATTGTAATTCTTTCTCCACCGTAAAGAAAGTTCGTGCTAGGAACGAACGAATAAAGAAGTTTCCTTCTCGATGACGAGCTACACTTCCGGTATCGTGTTTTTTTAGCAATAGAATCTTATTATTCTACGCGAAAGAGGCTGTCTGTTCTAGTTGCTCAGTTTCGAGGAGTTTCCTCGAGGATTTCAAAGAGTTTTATTCCGCGCTAGTCAACGGGGGAATTCGTTTAACCCAATTACGGAATCAGATTTATGAAAATGTCGAGTAGCTTAATTGAAGACGGTTGCGCGAGGAACGGAAACTGTCGAGATGGCGACTCTTTTTACCTCGGATATCCTTATGCAGCTAATGAACGAGGAATGCCTAATGAAAAGTGATGAAGTGGCTCGGAAAATGGTTCGAGTTTCCACTGAAACGGATCGAAACGAGAATTGTTACTGTTCGCAAATGCATCCTTGGCATAAATAAACATGATGGATAATAGCGGATTAAGATCGCCTCATTGACATCGAGTTTGATTGATTTGCAAAATTATAATTAAAAGCTACTTAAGCTTCGATCCCTATTTCATATTATTTATAATTCCAAGTGAACGCCTATAGATACCCATAGAATATGATCAGCCTTTATACTACTCTATAGGCAACGATATTCCTGAAAGGGTTAATTCCAGGCGTATCTCGTTGATCGGAGAGCAGCCTGTTCTCTAGATCGCAATCTATAAACGTATCAGTCCGATGGAAAGGACATCGGAGGACACAGTTTTAGGCTTTAATGGCAGACCACGTAGCTCAGGGTGGAGCAACTTCCTGTCCCGTAGACGCAGATGCTAGCGTAGCGATTAGAAGCCTAAGAGCCGTGCGAACTGGAGATAGGATAGAGGAGCCGCGTGTTGTAATAACATGCCGTGCGCGTCTAACGGGCCCTTACGCGTGTACGCGCACGCCGTTGGACATCGCCGTGTATATCTAACCGTACAGTCTCTCCCTTTCACCCTCTCTATCGGCCCTTTCACCTAGGATCCCTTGTTTCCCGCCCGTACTCCATTACGCCCGCTGATTATTCGGCATTGTCCACCTGTAAACGGCGGGTATATCGACGCGTCCGTTGCCGATCCGCAAGTAGCTTCTCCTGTTAGAGAGAAGTTATGCACGCGCGTACCAGCCTCGCCATGTTCCTATAGTTTATCTAACCACTTGCTGGACGAGATCTCCTCGGGCAGGATGCCTGTGCAACGGATTCAAGTGGACGTGCCGGTAGCTGGAATAGAAACTCTGGAATCTCTGTTGGACACGCGTCAACGAGTTTCATGATGTCAGAGTCTGACAGTTAGACTAAGATGATATTGTGGAATGAGGATCCTCGTGATCAGTAAACGGAACTGGAGATGATAGTTCGATGTTTGTACAGCAATGTGGATGATTGAGGAAAAGTGGTAAATTCAACGATAAGTCCGTCTAATCAACTTGTACCCTTAATACGGGGTTCAAAGTTAGAACGATTTAAAATGATTCGGATAATTAAACAAAAATCCGTGTTTAGAATATAAAACTAAACAGACTATCGGGAAGAGACTTTGACGTTCGAGAGGAACAAACATCCGTCGTCTTTGATCCAATTGGTTCCCCCCCATAGGTAACCGCAGATTGTGTGGATCGAAGCTCCCCTTGGCTATGGTGAATTGAAGGGCCCTATGCTGCCAATCCACGTGCGTCCCTTCTGTTTACCCGTAGTATCGCTAATGAGTCGACCAGGGCCGATGAACCGCGAGCAGGGCCGGCAGCACGAGGCCAGATATAGGACGGCCTCAAATTCCCGGCCATCAAAGCTAATATAATTATTGCGCGTAGGCCACGGCCAGCAAACGGTTCAGGGATACAATCAGGACAATCAGCATGATTGGCGGTCTCAAGTGTACACAGGAGGAGCTCGATGCTTTCGACCTACAAACCCTGTCGATGTCATCTTCCTGACTGATGGTGTCCTCGTGTTCGCCCCGTGACACTTTTCCTTCTCGATTTTCAAGCAGTTTGGCGCTTATCAAGGAATATCAAGGAATATTTACTGATGGCCTGGCAGATTGCTCAATTTAACGAATCATCCTAATTTCTTTAATCGCATTTCGAGTTGAAAAGAAACGCAGGATGAAATTTGGCCATTTTCTATAGAAATACTCCATTATGCGTACGCCCCCGCATATTCCCATAAGAAATTCGATCCAGTCGTTCGGTCAGTTCGTGAAGCAGTGTGTTCATCCTGCAAAGGGACCCTACGGATTCCCTTGGAGCAAATCTGTGGCTTGTTTACGCGGCATATTTGCGCCGATCGATCCATCCGTCGTGCGCCTAATCGAAGGGACGCTTAATAGGATTTGCCATACAAGGGAATAATTTCCTTAGCATGGGAACGGCTCTTCCGTGATCGATGCCATTTGCCACCTGCGTTTGATTAACACCGCCGCGCGTAACACGACCGAGTTCATCCGCTAAATTGCTAAATTATGACGCGTCGCGTTTAATCCTCCAAGATGGACACCGCACTATGGTCAAGCGTTTGTACTTGATCGTTTGTTTCTTTCTGAAATTCATCGAAGATCCAGATCTGACGATTCTATCGACCGAAGGTTTTCTCTCTGCAAACTGTCTGTGTTAGAATTGAAAAAATGGAAACGCTTTAACTGAATATTGATGAAACAGAGACAATTCTAGAGGCAGCGAACAGCAAAGTAAACTGTGGCCCGAGTATCGAATTCGATCGTTAAAAATGGATGCTCGAACCGTTTCCAACATTACACAGGGTCACACTCGATGTTTCGTTACAATTTTGCCATCCAATTAACACTTGGCCTCAGCTTTTGTCTGGCCAACTCGTACGATCGCTTATTGAAAAAAATGTTTTAAAAAATGCAGCAGCATCGTTTGTGTTTGTTCGGTCGTAGAAAAGTTTGCCGGTCACAATGGCGGAACGCAATGTAACTCGTCTGCCCTCGAAAGGCAAACACCGAGTCCTGTGGCAGGCTGAAAAATGCAACTTATTGTTCGCAATAATTGGTGGTCGTTTAAACGTGAGCCGCAAACGGAAACGCTTGAAACGCGAGCATCACACGTCCGGTGAAATTACC